TGCATTGCACTTGAGTTATTCCTGCTACCCACTATAACTAAGCAACAGTTTATTATGGTGTTTTCTCATGGATTCTGGATGTCTGTGTCAATGTATCAACATATATCACCACCAATGAAGCCACCAATAGAAAAGAAGAAGAAAATGGGGGAAGGGAGACGGGATGTTTTTCAACCGATCTCCTATGCTAGGAACTCGAAACATGATTCTTCCATGGTTTACCCCGGTGAAGTCAGTCTTCAAATGCCCATAGCGCTCGGTGCTTTCAAGTGTGCGGTGACTGCACCAAGCACGGCACCAGCTGTACCAAGGTGAGTCGGGAAACTGTACTGATAGTCGGTATCATCCCCTGGTACTCCAGGCCGCCAGCGCTGGCGGCCTGTTGGACCTTTGCCAAACGTAGGTCCACTGGGCGTAAATTCGAATGGAACCTTAGCAGGCTCGGGAATTTCTAGCCCGACTGGGCCTTTAGTAGAACCCTCAGTTTCTCCATCGGCACTGACAACTGCTAACTTCTTCGCGCCCCCAAAGTCACCCTCGGAAGATGACGTCTTTGCACTGGTCGGCTTCGTCAAGGGAGGCAGGTCCGGGTCGTCAAGCATGTCCCGCACCACGTTCAGGGCTGAGTCGGCGGCACCGGATATCCAGGTGTGATGATAGGACAGGTGCTCGCCGGCGAAATAGACGTTACCCTCAGGCTGGCGAGCCACGTTGAAACGTGCAGAGAACTGCCCCGGTAGGAACATGGCATCGCCCGTAGCAGTCGAAGCGGACCAGACGGCATCGGAAGTCTCGATGAGAAGGTCGTGGACGTTGATCTCGGTATCACCATCCTTCTTCCCTTGGTACATTGTGGCGAGGCACTCGAGTGCGAGACTGCGGCGCTCTAGAGGCGTGAGAGGGAGCCAGTTGGATGCGTCCGTCATCCTGAACCACACGAGTTAGTTAAAAATACGTGGGTCACACACATTTGCTTCCTTGTACCTAGTGAGATACGAGTACACTTACCACGCGTAGACGAGAAGAACTCCCGGCCCGTCCTCATCAATGCCGTTCGACGGGAAGACGATCCACCGGATGGGGAGGTCAGTAGTGCTCTGCCCACCATTGGATGGTTTAGGTGTCACCCTCTCCCAGAAGCGCGTTTTGAAGCGCATGCCCATCTTGTAGAGAGCTTCGAAGTGTATCGAGCGGATGGCCATCTCCTTCTCGACGCTCCAGCGAGGGCGTTCGGTGATCATCCGTAGTGCGGCCGGCGGAATGGCTAGGACGACACGGTCAAAGTCTGCACTCATCTCCCCGTTGTATCCCGACGCTCTAATTTGTACATGGTCATCTTCTGTCACTTCCAGCCCCGTCACACGAGCCCCAAAAGTGATGTTGGCGTAACCGACCAGGTATGCCATAGCCTGGGGTAGGCGGCTCATCCCTTTGTCAATGGTCCTCCAATCTGTCTCGTCAAAGTCCATGTTCTGCATGACGAGCTCGGGGACGCTGAGGGTGAATTGGTTTGTCTGAGACGTGACTGTCTCCACGAAGTCGATGACCTCGGACGGCCAGCCCATGACCGAGCTACAATAATAACGGAACGTGTAATCATCAAAATCGCGCACGATTTCCTCGAAGGCCGTATCAAAGTCAGCCTTCAGGGCCTTGATGAATTCACCGATAGCTGCACTAAGGAGCTCCCTGGCGGACTTGTTCGCGTAATCACTAGGAACGTCCCAGCCTACACTCGCGGGAGTAGCCGAAGATGCCTGGACTGCGGGCCGATGGCCATTTATGAAGATATCGTTACCCACGTCGCTCAAGACATACTTGATCAGCTCAATATTCATATCTGTACCAGGAGGAATGCGGGAGTTGATGTTATCGATGAGCTGGAAGACGATCTTGTGAAAATCCGAATTGGGGATGCGCATTGCGCCCGCCTCGTAGTATTGGTCCTTCTCGGTCGTGAAGTAGTGAGTATAGACACGACCTCCAATGCGGTCGGTACCCTCGAAGATCCTCACGCAGTGGCCTTGACGCTGGAGTAGCAGTGCGGTATACAACCCAGCAATGCCGCCGCCGACGATACCAACATTGAGACCTAGACAGCCATGGAGTGAGTGCTGTCCGGTCATCTTGCTTATATGGGGTCATAACTGAATAGCACTTACAAGACATTATGTATCGCGTGAAACCACAGATCACAAGTCAAAGCTGATTATACGTAGCGTGAATAACACGACTCGTTTCTAGTTAAAAAGACGAGTTGGTGAGGTGGGAGTTTCTCAAAGTAGGGGAATAAGGAATGGGGAGGGAGGACTACGTTTTGGTGGTGGAAAACATCAGTGGCTCTGCGCATATATACCTATACTTTTCGGGGTACTTCAATACCACTTCCCTCATTGATTGAAGCAGACACTCGGGAATAAGAATGGATATTCTGCATATCCAGCTGGTCTGGATTGACCGACCTTGTTGGCAATAAGAAAGGGGTAAGATAAGCAAAGATTGCAAGCTGAACGCTTCCCGCAGTCAACCAGTCAGGTGTCCTCTTAGGCAATAGGGAAGGTCTTTGGCAGTAGGAAAGGAGTAAGATAGGCAAAGGTGGCGTCCTGAAAACATGCTGCAGTCAACCAGCTGGGTTTGGTCTAACATGGGGACATCCTACCAAGAGAGCATCGTCGACCTTCGAGAACCAACTAACACTGACGCGGAGATGAGATTTCTCCATCGAAGTATTACCAGGCGTGGCCCTCTCCTGTAATCCGGCATGCCCCAATATACCTTACCTACTACCTACATAGGTATCGCATAGGGGGGTATGTATTGTGTAACGTAAGCAGCATATGATAGATCAAACGGGACAAAACTTCCGTTCGCTCTCAGCTGCCTACGACCTACAAGTAGGTGTGGGAATGAAGCATGTTTTAGTATGACCGTATGAGGGAGTGGTGGATATGACGCATGTTCTCTTCGCTGTGATAATGGCGGACAGTAGTGGTTCCTGAGTATCCTGAGGAAGGTGCCCCCCATCAGGTTGAAGAAGGGGCGATCCCATGATGAAGTGAATCAAGATGCAATAAAGTGCCCCTGCCGTTACAACGTCTTGATAATTGAAGTATCGTAGTCACCAACCAGACGGCCGCATCTTACTGTTGCTGATGGCAACATATGTCCGCTTCCGATCGACATGGAACCTTGGAAGCTGGTTGTGCTTGTTGTTAGGCCCGTGTTCCAACAGTCTCGAATGCTCGCATAGTTCTGCAGGCAATCTCCGACTTTCTCGGTTTACCCTCATCGGCTCCTTCCCTAATCAAAGGGTCAGATACCCAGACTTCGTTCCTTCTTGCCCACCTAACAGGTAGATACCTACTTACTAAGGCAGTTTCCCTTCTACACAAGGCTGTTACTTCCCAGCTCAGTCCTCAACTTGCCAAATAGCATCAACCTCGGACTACCCCGCCTCTTTGGCCCTTCCCTTTTCAACACCCACCAAAATCCTCCGACCTCAAACACAACGAGTGCATAGGTCTCTTGTGTCTCTTCTCCAACAGGCAGGTCTTCTTTTCCCATAGCTATGTGTCTATATACCTGTACTGACCTAAGCATAATGTTCAGCCGCCCGCTGGCTTAGTCGAGTGATGTCGAAGGCAGCGCCATGGCCTCTAGCACTTCATTACGCATGTCAACATTCTGAACTCGAATCAAGAAATCCTCCAGACTGTCAAGGAAACTTGAGTCACTTGGGGGTTTCATGGGATACGTATGGCCCATCAGCTTTGACAGGCCATCCACCGCTTGCATATCGCGGGATTGCTCTCCAAGGTGGCAGCCTCGAAGCTATCACCTTGATGTTGCTCACAGGGCTACCAATTTGCCAAATCCCATCATATCCATTGGCCATTCCCTGACTGGCCGCGGTAGCTTTCCAGGGGCTCAAGGCGAGTATATCCCTTTCCATCCAGACTAACGATCGCGCATTAGCCCTTTGCTGTCCAGATCTGATGGTTCCTCGACTACCTCTATTCCGACGATGTCAACCAAGCTCTGCTCCATTCTGCTTGGCCGGTTCTGTTTCATCGGTCCTAAGATTTCAGTTCATCTACTAGCTTCCCATCTGCTAATGCAGTTGCCCTCTATCGTCATTATGTAGAAGTCCTTTACCTGGTGAGTGGAGAGCGCGGGCTCCTCTCATCCACTCACTGGTTATGTCGAAGCTTGATGCTCCCGATGCATCGGCATCACTGAGACAACGTGATCGGAACGCCGAACAAACGCGCGCACAACCGAGCGATTCGGAGATACCAAGCTCTTCGCTTCCAGGGTGCCGGCATAACGATGAAGCGACTCACAAGAACCTTCAACATGTCGTTGGTATCACTCGTAGGGCCAATCAATCATATTGCGTGAGCTGACTATCCCGGTCAGGCAAATATGACCAATCAAGCCTAATTACCATCAGATATGAAGACCGACTGGAGACGACCTCAGAAGCAACCAGTTTCCCCGCGTGATAGGATTATGATCATAGTACTGACAGCACATGTTCTTCAGTGGAAGACACGCTAGATTCGGCTAGATTTCGAGAGCGATCTCCTTATCTCGGGATGCCTAGTTAGGTATCAGCCTGTCTACAGTAGTAGCATCGGAGGTACTGCTCTGTGCTACACGGGCTACAGAAGCTGCAATGCGACGACCGCGAGACGCCGAGACTTATGGAACGGTCACGTGAATCGGCTATCAATACTAGCTTCGAAATCAACCACCATTTCGCCGCCAGTCTTGCAGTGGCGCACAGGCTAGGAGTTACTAGACTGGCCACAGCCATACCCAATTGTCTACAACAATTCCTTTTATCTCCTAATCAATATCAACTTTGACCAATCACACGAGTTCCTTCTGAGGCCCTTTTGATCCTCGCTTATATACCAAAAGTTCTGGGGGAAAATTCAATCACCAACGGTCAACCCCATGCAGTCCAATCGGAATCCTGTGTGCGGTGAAAACAAAGTCGCTTCGTCTAGTGGTTAGGATGTGTGCTTTACACGATTATAGTATTCTTACTATGCGAGTTTTCTCAAAATCTGTACGCACAAGATCGCCGGTTCGAACCCGGCAGCGACTATTCTTTTGCCATTTTTATCAATTTAATTGGCCTGTTTGGTACGTGATATGAATGCCCTCGACCCAAACCGATTTATCCATGCATTGCATGCAGTCATACTGATATGATAGACTTCGGTTGGCGTATATACTGTATCATGCTTCCATTTATTTTATTCTTTTTCAAGTCAACGGTTATCAACGCTTCTCTCTAGCGGTTATTAGTACCAATAGGGGCTTTCTTGACACAATCGTAAGTGCTTGGCAACGGAGGTGCGCTATCAACACGTAGGACTATTGGGTATATGCATTGCACAACAACAGTCTTGCATTTTTCTTCTTTTCTATTCATTTATTCATATGCATTCAGTAGCTGCTTATATCTCCTAGATACTTAGCTATGATGTTTTTTAGTGCATCAAGGCATCCTCCACACCTCCATCCCAACACCAACGACCACGACTCGGTCCTCATTTAAAGCCTCTAGGTCGCCCGAGTCCGCAACGGCCGAGTACTGGTCATCGAGCAGCGCGACTTTCAGGTCACTGCCACCGCCACCACAAAAGTCGACGCCTGAACCCGTTCTCGTCTGATGCCGCTGCCACCTCGTCAGCCTCCAGGTCTTGACCCGCTGGTCGCTGCTCGTGCTGACGACGATGGCGTCCCGGCCGCCGTTGGTCAGGCGGAGGATCGCCACGCCCGTGACGGCAGCCGCGTGCGCCGACCGCACGATCGCCTTGCTCTTGACCTCGTAGCGCGTCGCCCCTTCTACGAGTGGCTTACCCGAGCCTATGTCGGTGTTGGTATTGACATTTGAGCGTAGTATGGTCGTGATCCCCAGCGCATTGTCGTCGCCGCCCGTGACGAGGAGGTACGCTACTGTTCCGCCGCCCCCGCCGTCAGCCTCGATCTCGACGCGGCGCATGTCGAGCGACTTGATGCTGTTCTGGTGCAGCTTTGCCACGACGACATCCCTAGCTTCGTCCCCTTCTCTGTATCCTTGCTCGACTTTACTACCATCTTGATCTGCTAAACAATTTGGTGTGGATGAGGATGAGAATGCGGATCGTATACTCCCGAAAATTGTAAGATGGCCATCCGTCGCGGCGGCCAAGACGGCGGTAGATCCTCCTAGGTGTCGCAACTGCGTCAGGCAAGCCCCCGTGTAGCTGCGCCGCCCGCACAGGTGGAATAAACCGCCTCCCCGTGCGTCGTCGTACGTGTACGTGTAGGACTGCAGCGTCGAGTTTGACAGCGCCATGGAGATACGGAAGACGGCAGCGTCATCAGCACCATTCTCACCCGACGGCGGTGACGCGCGCTCCACGTCAAAATCCATGATGCGCAGGTCCCCGCCCTCGGTCCGGTCCGGGAACACCGCCTCGCAGACCACGCCCAGCGGGCAGACGTCGCTGTCGATGCGGTTGATCTTCCAGACGTAGAACTCCTCGCCCCCGGCGCTGCTGAACAGATACTTGTCCCCGCACCACCGGAGCGTCTGGATCCCCGTGGCGTGCTTCTCTAGCACGGCCACGCACCGCAATTTCCGTCCTTCTGTGCTGTCACTATACTCCCATATCCGTATCGCCGTATCCTCGGCGCCCGTGGCGACGTACTGCCCGGATGCGCTCGCGGCCTTGATCTCCCGCCCGTGGCCGCCCGGCTTGAGGGTCTGCTGGGGCGCGTCCGTCTGCGAGAAGACGTGCATCTGCGACGCCTTGGTGAAGACGAAGCGGAATCCGGCAGGGTTGTTGCGGATTTGCGTGTGGGCGAAGCTCCGATGGCCGCCGCCGCAGTCGATGCTGGCGATCCCCTGCTGCCTGGTCTCATTCCAGACCACCATGTTCTTCCCCCGAAAGCCGCAGAGCATCAGGTCTCTGTTGCCGCCTTCACCAGCACCTCCATCGCCGTTGTTGTTGTCGACACCGCAGAACCAGGCCCCCTCTATTACGGATCCGAGCCGGGGGGCCACCTCGTGGAGCAGGTTGAGTCCAATGACGGTGTGTTCCGCCGTCTCCCAGAGTTCGTAGATCCGGTATTTCCCGTCGCGGCACGTGGCCAGGAAGTACCTAGGGAAGGCTTGGTGGCTGCCACGGCGGCCGGGCAGGGGTACGATCGATGTGATGGCATCGTCGAATTTCACCTGGACCGTCGCTTTCGGTGAGTAACCCCCATCATCATCACGGCCAAGCACACAAATTACTCCGTTCCTAGAACCAAGCAAGATGTAGTTCTGAAAAAACGTCGCAGCAGTAACCACGAAACCCTGCTCTAATGTAACCTCAATTCCGCTCGGTAATAGGTTTGGGTCCAGCTGTAGCACCACGGCTCTGGTGCCACCTAGTACGGTGATCAAAATTTCTGCTCGGAAAATTCCGGGGTTCCTGGCGTCTTGGCCCCCGGGAAAACGGTGTAATCTTTGCTCAACGGGACTAGTAGCATCCGAAAGAGAAAAGATATCTGCGACTTTCCCGTGAACCTTGGTCAACACTTCTAGAGACGGACTATTGTTTCTCGTATTATCGTCGTAGTAGTAGACATCCCCGGTAGTCGTGCCGATGAAGGCGAGCGAGTTCGCTTTCGAGCTTTCGAGCACGCAATACGAGAAAGGGGACCGTGACATCGCTGCGGGTAATGAAAGCTGCGTCCACGTAAGCTCGCCGCCCCCAATGGCAAAGGTTCCAACGAAGAATCTTGCGAAATTTGTAACCACAAGTAGTCGGTTTTCTGTTATGAATGTGTAGCATTGGAAGTTTTCCCTTGCGTTCTTCTTAGGTTTGTGGAGGGTAGGCAGGCTATTCACGACATCCTCTGTCGTCTTGCCTCCGGCCTGTTGCGGCGGACAGACCTGTGTTAGTTCTGAAAGTGTAAGTGAAACTGTTCGATTTGTACTTGATAAGAAAACACTGGATAGATCCAAAGCATGCTCATCCGCCTGGCTCGAATCCTTCTCGGGAGGTTGAGTATCCGAAGAATTTTGTACCAAGACAATCTTGCCATCAGAGCCTCCTGTCGCGATGCGGTGTTTCCCTTGCTTGGTATAAATGGCATGGGACCAGATATGCTTGCCACTGTGGTTGGAAGACGTGAGTTGGTGCGTCAGTGTCGCAACCGGCTTGACGTAGCCCCGTGACAACACCTCTGGCCGTGTAGATGAATCCAGTCTCTGCGACTGGAATTCGAGGTGCCATTTCTGTGCCGTAGCATCTTCTCCAAACGAGTATATCTCTATGGTATCCCGAGTGCGGAATAGCTGTTGCTCCTCGGGAAACTCCACCTGCCATATCCTCGAGAGGTGGCCCATAGCTATCGCGAGGCATCTGGTCGCGTTGTCATCATCAGCCAGTGCTTGGACGCTGTCTCCGAATCCCGTTTGGCGAGCATCCAATATGCGCGCGTCGTATCCGCGAGAGCCCTCGCTGTTCGTCTCGGTGATATCCCATACCCGGATCGTCCTATCGTCGCTGCAGCTCGCTAGTAGACGTATCGTCTCCCCGGAAGCCGTCTGCAGCTCGGGAGACATGTGCACCCCGAAGATGGAGCCCTCGTGACCGGAGAACACGAACAGGACCTCGCAGTCCGTTGTCGTGGTCGTGGTCGCCTCGCTCGCCCCAGTTCCACCAAGGTAACACTTCCAGACGAGGATCTCGCCGAACACCGTCCCGGCCGCCACGAGGACGCAGTCGCTGGATATCCAAGACAGGTTCCCGGAGAACAGGATGGGCCTCGAGGGCGATCGGATCTTGCCGAACGTGAGGGTTCTCCTGACCGCCTGGTAGCCGTCACCATCACCGTCGCCGCCGCCGCCGCAAATACGGGCTTCGATTAGCTCGTTGTGCGCCGTAAGCAAGACGATGCGATCGTCGTCCCCAGCGAACGGCGAGATCCTACCATCGAGGATCCAATCGGGCGCCTTCGCCTCCCACCTCCCGGTAGCCGACGAGGGTTTCGTTGCCTCCGCCGTAGCGGCAGCAGGGCTACTGCTACCACTACCCGCACCCGCTTTGATAGCGCTCTCGATGAGCTCTCCGGACACGACGGTCACGGAATAGCCGCCCCAGACCAAGACCTGCTGCTGCCGGTTGGGCTCGGCGACGGCAATGCCGTGGATGGACTGCGCCCGGAAGACGGGCAGTCGGCCACAACAGAGGCGGGCGTGTGGTCCCTCGGCATCGGCATCGTAGATCGCGATGTCCGTGTCTTCGCCGGCTAGGATGTACGCTTGTGACCGCCCGTCTTCTGCCCCGCGGTAGTAGAAGACGGCAAGGGCCGTGATGGGGCTGAGCACGTGCTCTCGGTGGAGGTGGCTAGAGCCGCCGCCGCCGCCGCTGCTGCTGCTGCTGCTGGCAGAAGTTGCCTACGTATGGCTGTGTTAGTTACAGGGAGGTTCTAACGGAAAAACAAAGTTGCTACTTCGTATATAGTGAAGAATGCAGATCAAATCACAACTTGCTCGGGGCCAGCATGGAATAGAAAAAGGGTGAGCATAGACAGCGACGGACCTCCTGAGACATTTAATGACTATGTCGGCCGTCGGGCATTTGAGACCGATGAAAAGGTTACTGGTATAGATGCCCAGTACTGGTAACTGGTAGGCCCCCTTTTCTGATAGGTTGGTTGCGGATATTGAGGCTCGAGACTCAGATTGGCAATAGCGTCAGTGTGAATTTTGTTGTTACCTACGTAAAGGCTGTGTGCATTTGACACGTGATTGATGAAGCATTATCGGGCATCGAAGTTACTATGAGTTCTCATGGGCACCATCATTTTCTTTCCGCTTGCTGGAGTCTACTGCTGTACGGTCTCGAGAAGGATACGGTGATATAGTGATGGGAGGCATGATCGTTGTATAAATTTAGCATTTAGTAGTATCATCGACTAAATGTTTAGGTTAGGTAGCATTGTGGTGCGGGCTCTCTAAAATAGCTGGTCCAAAACCTGGACCCACCCGACAGGATGTTTCCCATGTTTCCCCTCGAAAAAAATCAACACAACAATGAAGAACCGTAGTTCGTATCCGAA